ATGCACAGCTCTCCCTGTGGGGCCCCACACTCTGTCTGCTGCTGCTGTTGCTGCTGTTGCTGCTGTTGCTGCTGTTGCTGCAGCAGCTACTGCTGGGGTGAGCTCGGCGCAGTGGGGGCCCCCAAGGATACGATGAAGAGGGGCCCCGTCTTGCTGCAGCAGCTGCTGTTGCAGTGTACTCTTGACAAGTGGAGGCAGCAGCAGCAAAATTCTGCTGCATGCATGCAGTAGCAATACCCATGTCCTCAAGCTAGCGGGGCCCCCAGTAGGGGGGCCCCCACCAGGGGGGCCCTCATCTGTACCACCTGTGGTTGTTGTTGTTGTTGCTGCTGCTACTTCACCTGCTGCTGCTGCTGCCGTCAGCACCGCCAGTTGAGCCACAAGAGCTCGTACTGCAGCAGCAACAGCAGTAGGAGAAGCAGCAGCAGCAGCAGCAGGCACAGCAGCAGCAGCAGCAGGCACAGCAGCAGCAGCAGCAGCAACAGCAGAAGGTACTTCAGCAAAGGATTTGCTGCGAGGCAGCAAACGGCTTAGACCATCTGCTGCCTTCGCCAACTCCTCGGCACTCACATCCTCTGCTGCTGCTGCTGCTGCTTCTGCTGCTGCTGCTGTTGCTGCTGCAGGTGTTATTGCTGTTGCTGCTGCTGCTGTTTGAGGGGCACTTAGCAGCAAACGTGCACGGAGTTGCTGCAGCAACTCCAATATAAGGGATCGCTTTGCTTCCCGCCAGCCCACCTGCTGCTGCTGCTGCTGCTGCTGCTGCTGTTGCTGTTGCTGCTGCTGTTGCTGCTGCTGTTGCTGCTGCTGTGGAATAACCACCATTAGAGGCCGACGTAAGGCGGCCGTTGGCCCTCCCTGCTGCCGCATACAGCAGACGCAGCCGCTGCTGCTGCTGCCGCTGTTGCTGCTGTTGCTGCTGTTGCTGCTGCTGCTTATGCTGCAGTCGTTTAGTGCAGCAAGAACCCAAGGCAGCCTAAGGAGGGCCCCCAGGGGCAGCAGAGGCAACGAGAGCTGCAGGCTCCTTAACAGGCTTGCTGCGCATATATCTACTTCCTGCTGCTGCTGCTGCTGCTGTTGCGGCTGGATGCCCGAGGCAGCAGCTTGCTGCGCTACTGTACCCTTGGGGGGCCCCCGTGTTTCTACGGGGGCCCTCCGTTGTTTAATTGTCTCATTAGATAGAAGAGACAGCAGCAAAATGCTGCAAACCCTAGAGGGGGCCCCTGTACATACGTGACGCTTGGTGCAGCAGAAGGGGCCCCATGCAGGTAGCGGAGGGCCCCCCAAGGGTACGGTAAGACTTCTTCCACAGATCGGGGGGCCCCCGAAGATTCTATGGGGCCCCAGCCGACCTCCAGGGGACCCCAAGAAAGACCTTAGGGGGCCCCCTATGGACCTAGGAATCCCCTCTATAGAGTTAGGGGGCCCCCTTAAAGATCTGGGGGGCCCCATCAGAGACATTGTACCATCCATTGACGACTTAGGGGGCCCCCAAGAGCAGCTGTGTGGGCCCCTCGGGTACCCACCAGGTGTATTGACAGCTGCAGGGAGTGCTAAGAGCCCCCCACGGGGCTTGCTTGGGGGCATCCTATGGGGCCCCCTGGTAATAAGGGAGTGGCGGAGGGCCCCTGGGATTGTTGAGATTGAGCAGCAATAATAATGATGGGGACCCCTTGCTGCAGGGAGGGCCCCTGGGGGCCCCCTTAGGAGAAGTAAGGGATGTGCACGGGGCATATGTGGAGTAGAAGTGGGTAAAAAGGTATAAATAAAGAAATTAATCAATTATAATACAGAAGGGGGGCCCCTTGCTGCTGTTGCAGCAGCAGCAAGAAATGGACCACACAACAGCAACAGCAGCAAAAGAGGGGCCCCCCTCTACACCCCGAAGAATCCCCGCTGTTTTAGCACCAACTGTTGTTGCAGCACTAGCAACAATAGCAGCCTGGGCCTCCTAAGGGGCCCCCAACAGGGGGGCCCCTTTGATCTAACAACAGACACGCGGAGATGTACGAGAGGCAAGAGACTCTTATGCTAAACACCAATAAAAAAAAATAATAAAAGACATTTTCTCTTTATTAATTCGAATAAAATAAACAAATATGTATTAAAAAACGGAATTTATCGGGCTCTGGGGGCCCCTTAGGGGGGCCCATCCTACCGGGGCCCCCCTGAGGGGCCCCCCCAGATTCTTAGTCGACCTCAAAGGGCCCCCCACCGAGTTCTTGTTTGTATTTGTGTATTTTTTATGGATATTTTGCGTTCCTTTGTTTATTTTAATTTAATGAATGTAATCTAATTGTTTATTTTGTTTATTTTTATAAAAACTCCTCTTAAGAGGGGAGAGAATACACCCTACGGTTTACCGCCTTCCCTGGAGGGGGCCCCCCCCCTCCCCCCCCTACGTTTATTTCGCCGTTTTTTCCCTAATTTTCATTCTCTTTTCCTTTCATTTATACTTTTTACTCCTTTTCAATCTAATTCCCTCTTTTTTACGGCCAGGGTG